TAGATAAAAAGTTGTGGTAGAGTTACACAATGGAATACCACCTGGCCATAAAAAAAGACGGAAATCTTACTCTTTTCAACAGCATGGATGGACCGGGAAGAGTGCTGGGCGGGATGCGTGGTCGCTGGCGCCCTAGTAAGATGTTTCTCGAGATACAGTTCACCGGGGCCAGAGTCGGGGACACGTGGGTCTCCCCAGAACCGTCTGTGCCGCCGCCCAACGACTCTGTCCCCCAGCCCGCCGGCCCCTTTCTGGTCTCCCGCAGCACTCTGGACCCCTCGACAGCAAGCCATGGGCGAGTACCAGGTGCGTGTGGCCACCGCCTTTTTCCTGGGCTCGGAGACCTGGGATAACATGTCACTGAGCCTGGTGGGTCCCGCAGGCGACAGCCAGTCTCTGCGGCTGAACATCTTCGGGAAGAACTTCGTGGAGGAGCGGTGCGGTGCCCGCGTCGCCAGGCCTACCCGCTCGCGTTCTTCCCAATGCCACCCTACGAGCCTTCTCCCTCTCCTCCCACCCCAGCCCCAGGAGGAGGACTTCCAGGGAGCTGCTCCCCAGGCCGTGGGCCCGGTGCTGCTGCTGCGCGTGCACGAGGCCCCCGCGCTGTTCTGCCAGCTCCGGCCCCGGGCCGGGCGCAGGGTTCTGCCCTGGTTCCAGCTCACGCCGCCGCAAGGCCACTCCCTCCGCTTCCCCTGCTACCATTGGCTGGAGGGGACCAGGAGCCTGGTGTTGGGGGGGGGGACAGGTGAGGAAGAGTCTGAAGTGGAAGGGAGGCTAATTTGGTGTTGGGTCAGGGGAGGCACTGATGGGCTGATGTGGTCACAGACTGGGAGGAGGCGAGACCAGCCGGGAGCGACAAGCGGGCACAGGGGAGGAGGAGTGATTAGGAGGAATCATACTGGGGGAGGGAGGGCGGAGGGATGGAGAGCTGGTGGAGGGACCAGTGGAGGGGGCGAGGAGTAAGAAGTGGTTCTGACCAGAGGATTAGGTGTGGACGTTGCGGAAAAGCAATGAGTGGAGGAGAGAGGGGCTGGTGGGAAAAGGGCAGGACGTGAAGCAGAGGGGGCGCGTCAGGCAACTGGAGCCAAACATGGTGGAGGTGCTGGGTATGGCACTGCCCCTCTTTTCTCTGCTCTCTAGCTTTTCTCTTTGGCCTTCTCTGGCCTCAGTTGTTGAGTTGGGAATCAATGAATGGAAGGGGACTGCTGAGGCAGGGTCCGCCTTGGATCGGAGGAGTGGGCAGGGACTTCCCTGTCCCCGGGGGAAGAGATGAAACAGGCCAAGGGGCCAGTGGCTGGCTCACATTCCAGTCCAGAGACACCCCACGCCAGGTCTGAGGAGAGGATGGGGTGATGCTGGGGTACTGAGGGTTGAGAGCAGGTCTCTTTCTCACTCCTTCCCTCCCCCAGCCAAAGTCATCTGGCAAGACAGGCACCCTCTGCTCTGTGCCCAGCACCAGGCAGAGATTAAGGAGAAGCAGCAGAAATACCAATGAGCAGCAAAGGCAATTGTAGGGCTGGTAATCCTTAGAGTACCCACTTCCTTTTTTTTTTTTTGGTTACTCCTCACCCAAGGATATTTTTCCATTGTTTTTTTTTTTTTTTTTTTTTTTTTTTTTTTAGATAGAGTGGAAGGGAGGGAGGGAGAGAGACATGCTTATTGGTCACCTCCCACAGGACCCCAACCTGAGTGGGGATCGAACCTGCAACCCTGGCAGTGCCCTTGACTGGGAATTGAACCCGAGACCCCTCAGTCCTCAGGCCAAGGCTCCAACAGATGAGCCAAACTGGCCAGGGCAAGTCCCCACTTCTTAATTTTCTGGCAAAAAAAAGGGGGGGGGAGAGTTTCTTGCTCCTGCTACCTTCAAATCTGACCACATGTGAGGAGCCTCAAGTCCTGGCACAGCCCTCCTCCCATAAGCTCCCAGCCCCAAAGCCCTTCCTGCACAACCAGGCCCAGCCCGTTACCCTTTCTCCAGTCATCAGTGCCTCACTCCCATCTCCAGCTCTGCCTTTTACAGGTAGAGTGGGTTTTTCCAGGGGATGCCCCACTGCCTGGATGCAGAAAACCTCAGGATCTTAATCCCATCCTGTGCTACTCAGTCACCAAAAGTGTCAACCAAAAATTCTGCCCTCTCTTCCTGTGAGCCTGCCTGCCCCACCTGACAGCCCCTTCTCCGTACCTCATTTCCTCCCAGCCTGTCCCATTCTGTCTTTCTGCAGGAACGTCACCCTGAAGCTGAAGGGACGGCTGGACAGCCAACGGCCCTGGAGAAGCCTGGATGAGATCCAAAGCACCTTCATCTCCTTCGAATCACCCGTGTCAGGTCTGGGATTTGAAGGAGGGCAAGCAAGCTGTTGTGGGACCAGAGGGTCTATAGCAGTCACCTTCTGCCCAAACACACTGCTGTCTCAAAGCCCATTCCTGCCTCCTGTTTTTCCTTCCCAGCTGTGTGACCTTGAGCAAGTCATTTAACTTCTGTGTCTGTTTCTTCATCTGAAAACAGGAATAATAATAATAGCACCTACCTCACAGGTTATTATTAGGATGAAATGTAAAGCCCTACAAACAACCCTGAATAGGATGTGTTCTCTGAGCATTAGCTATTACTAGTATTCACCCCCTTAAAGTTACCAGGTTTTCCTTCTAAATCTTCCTTACGAGAGACCGCCTTGGGATGTACGTCTGGCCTCCACCCTTTGGCCAGCTGCTCTAAATATCTGGCCTCCCCATATCCCTGATGAGTGTCCCCATCTCCTGCCTTTCCCAGGCACTGGGAGTATGGCAGCAGTGCTCAGAAGCCTCACATGATTCCATTTTTTGCCACATGGAATGCAATGTTTGCCATGGCATCTCTGCCCCCCACCTTCCTTTCTTCCTCTTCAGCACACACTGAGCCTAGGGAGGCCAGGCCCCCCCTATTCTCCTTCTCTCCTTCTCCAACCACCGCCCCATCTTCAAGCCCAGCTCCTGCCACACCTCCCCTTGAAGACTTCAGGGACCCCCACCCCCATCCTACCCTACCCATCTATGAACACCCATAGCTGGAGCTGCTTTTGTCAAAACCCTTCATAGTGATGGATCCACACACCCTTTGTGAGCCCTACTGCGGCTGGGGGTGGATGCCGTGATGAGCAAGGCAGACCCATCTCTGCTCTTCGGAAACCAATGGGGAGATAGACCCAATCTGCCAGTCCCAACACAGTGTGGGGTGGGGTGGTGGCTGGTGTTTAATCTTTCTCTGTGGCTTGATCAAGCTCAAAAGGCTGGAATATAAATGCATATAGTAAGCAGCAAAAAGTTAGGAGAGAGGTGGGCAGGGACTATGGCTGATGAACTCATGTTTGTTGATGGGGACAATGGCGATTCAGCTATGAATATAGCCAGATCTTTAGATTTTTCAAGAGAAACAAGATATTTTCTAATATTTAAATGTTGGCCATTGATTCAACTTGGCAGTCAATCAAAATGCATCTGCAAACCAACTCTGGCTCTCAAGCCCTCTGTTGGCACCCCTGGTGGAGATGAGGCCTCCAGGTGTGAAACTCAGCTCAGTGGTTTATAAGATGTGTGGTTGGCCATTTTCCTTATCTGGCCTCAGTTTCCTCCTTTTTGGGCAGCTGGTCTCAGCAGCTTTTTTCACTCACACCCCATGAGCTGCACAGCCTCCCAACTGTTAGTCACCTTGTGTTCCTGGATCCCCAGGCGTGTACTACCCAGATGACCCTGCAGTGAGCAGGGGCTCCAAGCTGCAGGCGTGGGTCAAGTAGATCTTCCAGGAGGGTTTTCTAAGCTGCCTGAGCTCAGGTGAGGTGTCTGTTTCAGTCTTCCACCCTGCAGACCCCACTTCCCCAGGGTAGCAGCCCCTTGGGTTTCAGTCCCATTCTCTCCACCCCACCTCTGTCTAGGGGTCCTTTGTGTCCCAGACAGCTGCGCTGGCCGTGTTGAGTATTTTACCATAACCATTTTCACCTGCTCAGCCCAACATGCTGCCATCATAGCAGTGGTGTGAGCCAGTGGCAGACCTGGGGGACAAGCAGGGTCCCAGAAGGAGTGGACCTAGCAGGAGCACTGGCACCCTATGCTTACTGAGTGTGGGGATTCAGTTTTAATTCAGTGCCTGGATGCCCAATATTTCCACCACCATGGGGTTACCCCAGCCCACCAGGCAGATCTGGTGGCCTCATTCTCTGAGGTCAACGCCACTTGCCATACCCTGGTGCTCTTCTGGGGTATCACTGATGAAACCAAGGACACTGTAAGCAAGGCACAGGGTGGGGAGGGGAGGTTTCTCCGGTTCCAGGAGAGTGGGTGGGGTGAAGAAAGAGCCTGGGAACAAGGGGGTACTTGGAGGGGCACTCAGCAGGCTGGGCCCTTTCTTGGGCACGGCCTGCAGGGACAGGTTTCTGAGGGTTTGGTTTAGAGTAGCCTGGGCTCCTAGTAGGTGGAACTTAGAGGGGTCCAGGCGTCCTGTACTTTGGGTTTAGGGCAGTCTTTTGCTTAGGTGTCTGAGAGGTTTATATTTCAAGATGGACAGGGGAAGTGGTCTAGGTTCTTAGGTGGGTGGGGCTCGGGTGGTGGATCTTCTGGTGGGCTGGGGTCCTTGGTGGTCTGGAGGCCTAAGTCGGGGGACTTAATATGGACCGGAATCACTCTGGGATGAAAGATGAGGTCAGGGCATCATGGAGCAGAGGTCCCAGGCGTCTCTCCTGCCGTTCCCAGCGGCACCGGTACCGGGGCACCTACTTGGATGAACACTGCATGGAAGAGGCCCGGCAGTGGAGCATCGCAGCCTACCAGAGTCTCCTGGCCCTTATCTCTTGGGACATCAGGGAACAGAGCCGAGGCCTGGCGCTGCCCTACGCCCACCTGGACCCCGCGGCGGTGGAAGAGCATGGCACTGTGCGTGGCACCAGTCCCGCCCCCGCCCCCCCCCCCGCCAGTAAACAGATGCGCTGCGTGCACTGACAGACCAAGGCTCGTGTTCGAAGTGTTTGCTCTTTTTGTTGATTTTTTTTTTTTTAATAGCCGGGCGCAGGGCAGGGAGAAGCTGGGCGAAAAGAGCTGTGCTAGATAGAAACGCTGTTCTCGATGAGCACGGGGTCCAGGTAGCGGTAGGGGATAGGGAGGCACTTGTTGCGCTGGCGGATATTGTGCGAGATCAGGGCCAGGCGCTGGCGGAAGCTCTCCATGCTCCTCCGCGGGACATCCTCCACGAAGTGGATGTCGGGGAAGTGGCCCAGGGGCCGCTGTGGGCAGAGAACCGGCAGCTGGCCCCCATCCCTTCGCACTCCCCCCTCAGGAGCCTCTCCGACCCTGCCTTCCTCCCTTGACACTCCTTTGCTGATTTGCCCCCCCAGCTTCCAGCCCCTGCCTATGCTCAGAGTCCCCCTCCCCCACCTGCACCCAGAGGCCCCAGGGCACCTTGTCATCCGGCTCTCGGCTGAGTGTCCAAAGCACCAATAGGATGATGCACGTGGTCTTCACATCCGGCAACGTGTCCAGGAAGGTCTCCAGGGTGGTCAACCCCTTGGCCTGCATTGGTGGGTTCCGCATGGACGACGGGAAGTTGGGCATCCAGCAGGTGAGCTCCAGCTGGGGGTGGAGGAGAGGAGGGGTTCTGGGTCAGAGAGCACCCAGGGACTCTCGAGTTTAAATTGAGGTTAGGATGGAAACTGGGACTCGGATTGAGACAGGTCAGGGCCGAATAAGTCTGGGTTTGAGCTTGGCGTTGGGGCTGAGGTTAGGTCTGTGCCTGGGGTTGCCGCAGAGGCCGGCGAGCGCAGGTACCTGCCCTGTGTTGACAGCTGCGTGCTTGGCAGAGCAGGTGTAGATGACGATGGTGACATATCGGATCAGTTCAGGCACCGTTCGCAAGCACGTGGGGAAGCCTAGAAGGAGAGGAAAGGGCCCGGCAGTGTCAGTCCGGCCCTGGTCCGGACTGGCCTGTAGAGGGCGCAACCAAGCCCAGCTCAGCCTGTCCTGCTTGCTTGGCCCTCCTGTGGCCACAACCCATTCCCCCAGTCCAGACCCCAAGCCTTGGCGAGGGGGCCCCCACAGGCCTCTGCCAGATGTCCCCCAGGCCTGCTCCGGGCACCTGCAAAGGCTTTAGAAGAATCCTGGCTTTCCTGCACTGACTACAGTCCTTGATCCACACCCTGCCGCACACACACTTCTTTTGAGACACTGCTCACTCCAGATAGATTTCTCAGTAGTCCTGGCTCTTGATCTTGTACCTAACCAAGTTTCTTGCTTCCTGTCTCTGTTGTCCCACCTAAGCATCCAGCTCTGGTTGCCGTGGTGACCCCACATTCCAAAAGCCTGACAGTTTCAAACCAGACCTATCATTTTTCTCTATTAACCCCTCTTCCCTCCTCCCTCCATGTCCTCAGATCAATGACACATACCATCTACTCAGTTTTGAAAGCTCTAAACCTGAGAGTCAACTCGCACCTGTCCCTCACTGCCAAATGCAAACTAGTCACCAAGTCCTGTCATTTCTATTTCCTAACTCTCTCTGGAATGCTCTGTGTCTCCACAGCCCCCACCTTAGTCAGGTCCCTGTTACCTCCCTCCTGAATAGCACAGCAGCTTCCCAAACTGTCTCCTAACCGCTGGTGCAGCCTGATATTCTAACATACAAACCTGATCTTGCAAGCCCCTCCATGGCCCCCTCTGGTGCTCACCGTAATTCCAAATTCCTTCGCCATGCTGTGCAACCTGGCCCCTGCTCATGACTTCAGCCTTGGCCCTTCCCAGACCCTGCCCAACTCCCTCCCTCAGCTCCACTTGCAGGAACCTGTCAGCAGCTCCCAGAACTCTCCAACCTCACCTCTGTCATCTCATAGCTAACCTCCCCATCCGGCAGATCTTAGCTAGCTTTTAGCTAAGATATTAGGTCTCAGCTAGATCATAGCTTACTGCTACCCACCCCCACTCTCTATCCACCACCCCTCTCCAAGCTGAGTTAGGTGCCTCCCCTAGGCTCCTATCCCCCCCCCCGAAAACTGCACCAGTCCTGCTATAATGTTACTGCCCATTTACTTGAGCAGACCACCCCCCATCAGACTGTGAGCTCCCTGAGGGCAGCACCTTCACCTCTCTTTCCCTTTTGCCTCCTCAGTAACCAGCACAGAGTTGGTCACATCAGAGATGCTTGTGGAGTGGGTGCCCAGGTGGCATGACTTGGAATGCTCTCCCCCTCCTGGGGCCTGCCAGCACTCCACCAGCTCCCCAGCTTGTAATACACTCCGCCCTTTCCTGTCTGTGCTCATGCCCCCTTCCTCAGTGCACAAAGGTTTGTTTCTGGGTGGGGGACTGGGACCCCTCCAGGTCTCTACAGAGATGACCCACAGCCCTTGAACTCAGACAGGGACCAATGGCCAGCCATGCTTTCTTCCCCAATCTCTCTGAGATGCATTGCTCCAAGGGACAGGGAAGGGCTCTGTCAAAATTCTAGGGCAGTGATTTGGCTTCCTTCGGCCCCCAACGAGACATGTTCCAGCCCAGAAAGGGGGGCCCAACCCAAAGCCCTGGACCCCTGCTGGATGCTCAAGTGCCCATGCCCGTACCTGAGCTCTCACGCCCTAGTAGGCACTCCTTGAATATCTCCTGCACCCAGGACTGCAATTCCGGGTCACCCTCCACAGCTGCGTCACATGGGTAATAGTAGGTGATGATCTCTGTCACATACCTGACCAAGGGACAGGGCCTCAGTTTGGACCTTCCTCCTGCCCTCCCCAACTATGCTGTTCCCACCTTTCCCAGGATGCCCTGGCCCCAGAGCTGCCCTAGGCATATAGGTGGGCAAGTCCTGTGGGGCAGGGATTACAAGGGTGGCTCGTCAAGGCCAGAAGATGGCACCATACCCAAGCTCAGGTACATTAAGGCTCCCCTCCAACATCTGAGGGTGTCCACCCTGAGTGCCACCCACTCCTGTCCTGATCTTACCTCTCCAGTGCGTCCCACACTGCCAAGCAGTCATCACGGTAATAATATCCTGGCAGGTCCTGAACCCCACGTTCCACAAAGTCGTTGGGGAGGTAGAAGCTGTCGTAGGTCATCTCTGACAGAGCCCGCGCCATCAACTCAGCAAAGCCCTTCAGGCCCAGGGATGTTCCCTGTCAGGAAGGAGGCAGACGCTAGAGCCAGCGGGTTCCTTCCAAGTCTGCCCCGATGAAGCTCACACACACTTTATGATGCTCCCCGGGCCCCTTGCCCAGCCTGCCCCACCCCGGAAATCCTCACACTCCAGCCAGCACCCCCAGCCCTGCCTCTGTGCCCTTGTAAACACAGCGTCCACTTGAACCCGTCTCCACTCTTCATGCTCCCTCCTGAACTAAAGGCAGGTGGGAAATCCTGCTTTTAGTCTAACTGCAAAGGCCAGAAGGAAAGTAAATATCTTGCTGGTGTTGGGGGCAGTCTTACCCTGGCAGTGAGCCCCCCCTCATTGAGGAGGATGGCCCGTCCGATGCTGTTGATCTGGATGGTGTATCGGGTGTGGGGGATCAGGAGCTGTGAGAGACAGCAAGGAGGACAATGAAAGAGAACCGAAGTTATCCCTCAGAGGACTTTGGCACCTCATTTCTGCAACATCAGACCCCCTCGTTTTGGGAAGTCCCCGCCTCAAGCCCTTTCTTGTGGGTCCCCAGCTGCCTCCCCTAATCTAACTAGAATCCGATGCTGAGCAAGCTAGGTGGCTCTTGGAGGCCAGATGAGGTCAATGATGCTTCCCAGAGGCCCCTTCACCCAAGCTCATACCTTGTAGAGGGGGTGGCACATGGGCAGCTGCCGCAGCACCGCCAGGGAGAAGGCTTCAGCAATGAGATGGGTCCCTAGCAGGTGGGCGATGGCTTCGTGGCAGAAGAATTCAGCGTTGCGCACCCACGTCTTGGCCAGAAGCCAGTCCCACTCAGAGTCACTGGGCAGGAAGATGGGGCAGTTGGGCCCAGGGGTCTGACTGAGCTGGGAGTGGGGAAGGAGGGAGAGTTAGATGAGGGCAGAGACCTATATACATAAGGACTCCCAGGAGGGAGACCAAGGGGAGTCTGAGGAGGTGAAAACTCCACCCCTACACTCCAGTCCCTCTGTTCCCTGAGCATACCAAGGCTTTTCCTTCCTCCAAACATTTGCTCTTGCTGTTCTCACTGCCTGTAGTACCTTCCCCTGTCCCTTTCTCTCCCTGGCTGCTCCCACTGATTCTTCAAGAACCAGCGCACAAGCCGCCTCCTCCGAGAAGCCTTCCATATGTCAACCCCATGGCCGCCACATTCAGCTGGCAGGTTGTGTAGTGCACAGAATACCCAGCCCCCGAGGGGAGGGGGCCACTGAAATCTACTCTAAACTGCTTCATTAGTGAGCCAGGAGCATCAGGACTTGACTGTGATCCCCCAGAGGGGTGCCTTTTTCTAATTTGAACATGACTCTAGTGGGGACCTCTGGGAAGGAAACACCTCCGTTTCATTTTCTGCCAGATAGGACGCTCAATGCAGCGGCTAAATCTGATTAGCTCAGTATTTCCATGCTTAGACACACAGCATGCATACACACAGGTGCACCCATAGGAACCCAAGTTCATGCATGGGTGGCACACAGATGTGCACATGCAGGGTAACACAGAGACTTAGCCAAAAGGCCACACACCAGGCTCACCACTAGCCACACACCCAGATAGATATATACATAAACATAGGTATATTCTCAGATGCATACAAAGGGACGTACACTCATGTGGACACACATGCTTTCATAAAGAGCCACACACACAGGCACAAACCCTCACAAATAGGTGGCATGCAGGGACATAAGGTTCACAGGCACACACATACACACACACACACACAGGCTGACCCGCTCACCACACATTCACATAGGACCAGACAAGTACACACACAGGCCCACACACTCACATAAGTTCACACACATTTATGCATGCACGTACAGTAGCTCCCACACTGGCAACATGCTCACACAGGGTGAGCCCTGCACACTAGGCACCTGAATGGCGATGGGCATCATGTTCCCTTCCGGGCTGAAATGCAACAGGCAGAGAGGGGCGCATTGGTGCTGCTTCTGGCCGTTGAGCTCAATGGTGGGGATGCCCTCCAAGATTCTGTAGTCCACCAGGTAAATGTTCCCCTTCTGGAAGGGAGCCGCCATGGGTGCGTGGGTGGGTAGGTAGTACCAACAGGAGGCGCCCAGGACCCACACCTTGGTACAGAGTGCCCGGTACCCCAGATGCAGGGGGTGGCCAGGAACCAAGGGGCATGCCCGCTGGACGGGGTTGCAGGGGTGGAACTCTGCAGGCAGTGGAGGTGGGGAGAGAGGGGATGCCAGGGAGGGAGGAAGGCCAGGAGGCTGTAAGGGTCTCCGCTGGACCAGCCCTCACCTCCAGCTCTGCTTGCAGGCACGTTCCTTCACCCAGGAACGGAGCCACCATGTCGTCTGTGACGGGGAACTTGTCTGGAATCTGCGTGCAGCGGCGGATCAGGCATGGGTTGATGCCATTGAGGTACTGGTACCCAAAGAATCTGTCCTCTGCCCAGTGCTCGGCCACGTATTCTGGGGATATGGTGCAGGAACGTCACGACGCTACCCGGTCCCCGTCGGGGACAGAGAGGCATGGGGCCAAGACCCCAGACAGAGGAAGACAACGGACACCCTAGAGCCGAGAGGAAAACAAAACCCCCGGCCTCCCCTGAGGGGCCTAGGGCGACGTTTCCCAGGAAGCCGCCAGAGGGCGCGCCTACCCAACTCGCCACTGCTGCCTCAGGTTTGCCCGCTCCTCCCACCCAAATGCCCCGATGTAGGAGTCCTGCCTCCTGGACGAGTCTCCAGTTCCTTCTGCCAGGGATCACTGGGCTCCCTGTGTTTCATCCAGGATGTCCCACCCCATACCAGAGGTGACAGTCTTGAAGGCAGGGAAAATTTTCTTAATGTCCTTCAGCCTCTTCCACGACTGTTTGCAGTCCACCAGGCCTCCGAGTTTGAATTTCAGTGCCCTTGGGAAATGGGATTGGAAGGGGAAGCTGTCAGAGAGTTTGCCAAGTGCCCGCTTGATCTGGACAGAGCTGCCCCACCCCACCTAGGTCTTCGAGTCTCAAAGTCTCTGTTCTCCCTTTCTCTGGGTCTCAGGGTCTCCAGGCCCGTAGCTCAGGGTCCTCCTAGGTCGCGGTCTCTGAATGTCACCTCTCCAGTTCTCTGGCCTGTCTTATCAGCTCCCTCTACCTTCCTGTCTATTCTAACGCCTGGGGCTGTGGTGGAGGTGGGCATGGAGCAGAGGGAGCCGGTAGTCTTTACATGAGCCCTCCCCACCCCCACCCCCCCCCACACACACTCACATGGGCCCTAGGCGATAAAAGAAGGAGGCTGTCTTGACAAAGGAGAAGCGCAGATTTGAGTTCAGGAACCTGGTGGCCTTAATGTTGATGAGAATTGGGAATCCGGGGATATAGCCATTCCACCTGCAGAAAGGAATGCAGGTCTGAGGCAGGACACATGGGGTCCAGGGCTTGAGGAAGGGGCAGAGCCCAGAGGTCCACGGTGGGAGGGCCCCAGGGCAGCTTCAGATCCTTACTCAGGCTGGTTGGGGTTTCTCCGGACAGGAGGGCGGTAACTGGGGATGTGAATGTAGTTGGGCAGGCCGGGAACGAAGACCCTCCAGCTGCAAAGAGAAGCTGAGATCGTGAGTCCTGATGTCCATGCACCATCCCAGGCACAGAGGGCAAAGCCTTCACTGGCCCGCTAGCCTTCCGTGGCCCCTGCCGCTCTCCCCTCACCGGTAGAAGTCCTGCTTGGCTCTGATCTCTTCCCGGCGGTGCTCCAGAAGGATTGGGAGGGTGTCGTCTGCTGGTGTCTTTCCTGTAAGGAGACCAAAGGGGGGGCCTCAAAGTTGGCCCCCAGCATCTGCCTGCCCCTGCCCACTTCAGGGATCAGAATTCAGCTTCTGCCTCCCAGGTGGACTCTGGAGGGCCCACTACAGTCAAGAATGGGAAAGGCTTACCTTGTGAGAGAAAGGGTGTTTCTCCTCCCAAAAACTGAGATAAAAGGATCAGGGACCACCTTGGCCAGGTGACTCACTTGGTTAGAGCGTTGTCCCATACACCAAAAGGTTGTGGGTTTGATTGCGGGTCAGGGCACATATTTAGGTTGTGGGTTCGATCCCCAGACCAGTCAGGGCACATAAGAGATGTTTCACTTTCTCTCTCCCTTCCCCTTCAGGTAAGTATTTTTAAAAAAGGATCAGAGACCCTCCCTGGCCGGTTTGATTCAGCAGTAGAGCATCGGCCTGAAGACCAGAGTCTCAGGTTCAATTCTGGTCAAGGGCACATACCTTGGTTGCAGTTCAGCCCTGGTCATGGTCGTGCGGGAGGCAGCTACTCGATGTGTCCCTTTCATGTCGATATTTCTCTCTCCCTCCCACTCTATCTGAACAAAAATGGAAGAATGTCCTCACGTGAGGATTTAAAAAAAGGATCAGAGACCACCCTCCTCCCCTTGCTCTACCCCCTCCAGCTGGGTCCTGCCGCTGCAGGGACCTACCTCCTTCAGACCCACTGAAACATCAATAGCAGTGATTTAGCACTTATTAGGTACAGGGCACTTTCTAAACACTTTCTTTAGATTAGTAATTTAATCCACACAAACACAACCTTATGAGGCAGGTGACTACTATTATAGGCTCACAGCCTGCTCTCTACAATTCCAAAATCTAACACGGTGTACAAATCAGGTTGGTTAGTTTTTTCCACTAGAAGAAATTTCTTGGTTGGAAAAACCTGCGCAAATTTTATCTGAGACTATAGACAATCTTTAGTGAACTCACTTGGTGTAACTATTCATAGTTTTTACTGCAGAAATATTAGTATATTTGATTAGGGGGTGCCCTGGGTAATATATCATATAACATGTAATGTGTGTATATATACAGAAGATATATGGATATAGAGATAAAGATATGTGTGTATCACATTTATATATCTCTTCTAAATAAAATCTAAATTTTAAAACATCTCTGGCCCCCACAGTTTCAGCCAAGGACAATAGCATCATGCTCATTTTACAAAGGAAAAAACAGTCAGTATTACATAGAAGGAAAGCAATGAGCTGGGATTTGAACCAAGGTAGTCTCCTTCTGATCACTAACCCACTACCCACTAACAACCGTAAACAGTTGTTAAACCTTTTCAAAACTCTTTCTGGAGATTGTCTCATTGGACTCTCACATTAACCCTATGAAAATGGTTTTGGTGTTAGCTCCATTTTACACATAGAGACACTGAGGCTTAGAAGAATTTATAAGTACACCCAGATGTCCAGCTAGTATGTGGTGGAGCTGAGATCCAAGTCCAGGCCTATCTTTCTCCAGCGTCCTGGCTTGTAGTCCCAGGCTAGCAAGCGCCTGTCACTGCATCCTCATCATTTTCGCTCAAGGTCCCCTTTGTTAACCTTTCCCTCCTCCATCTGCCTGATCTCATGTTGCATTCTGGGTGAACAGCGCCCCCTGGAGCTGTGCAACACAGAGTCCCAGCTCAGCCTCATCCCCAGAGTGGGAACCTCACTCCTTCAAGAGCCCAGCAGGTGACTCAAGTCTTCCTGCCCTGACGTTGCTTGACAGCTGCCCCACCCAACCCCATTCTTACCCTGCCACCCAGTGTCACCTTGCCTGTTCCCTGCTCCCATGTCACTCAGACCTATCACTGTGGGAAGATACTTCGAATCCCCAGTAAGACCCTCTCCTTGGCTTCCCCACCCTCTCCCAAAATTGCCTCTCTCTACCCCTGCCTCTCCTTTCCCCAGCTCAGGCACTGTACCCCTCCTCCCAGGAAAAGGCTCTTGCCACAGGGTAATAAGAGATTTAAAAATGGGGTGGTCAACTGCAGGGAGGATGGAGCTCCAGGCCTCTGGGACCCCTCAGTTCTGCCCTCCCCTCTGACCCACCTTGGGGGAGGCCAGAAGAAGCTCAGTGGTAGAGCCAGGGGACAAAAGAAGACAGGCCTGCAGTCCCCGTGTAGCAGCCACATATTAGGAAGCTGGCCCAAGCCCACTAGACAAGGGCTCTGGCAGAGGTGGACATAAGGAGCACAGGCACTCAGGTCCTGTCCCTCGTCGATGGGAGCAACCAGGCTACTGGGAAAACAGTTGGGCCACCAAGGGAAACCCCAATACTCTATGAGGAACAAGGTCTCCTGCTGGAGTGAGATGGAGCATCACTGGATTAAGAGGACATTTGGGAATAGCAGTGAGTCCTGTTGGAGAAATAAGGTGTCTTGTTGGAGTAATAGGGAGTCCTTTGGAGCCATAGAACATCCATCTTTCTCATGAAGAAACCCAGGGCACCGTAGTAAGACACAGGCCTCCTGTTATAGCACCGTGGAGAACTGTTGAACGAACAGCCTTTGTAATGAAACAAGGCAGCAGTTGGGGCGCTGGGGCTTCTGATTAGAGCAACAAGACATCCTGTTCTAGCAACAGAACCCTGCTGGAGTAACAAGGAGTCTTTTTGGAGTAGCAGGACATGCGATTTGGCATAAATAGGACATCCTATCCGAATCCTGAGGCCTGAACCCAAAGTAGCAAGGGGCCTTTTTAGAGCAGGCGGGCAGTCCATGGGAATCAAGGGGAGGACGGTAGAGGTAACAGAGAGCACCCTTGTCTCCGGCCCGTACCTGCGAGCCCAAGATCCCGAGGATAGCCCTGTTATTCATCTCTGTTCCTCAGGGCGTAGCCCAAGCTGAGTCCAGCACAGCAGCAATGACTAGAAGGAATATGTGACAGTAGCAGGAGTTCCCAGGAACCCCTGCGGGGCTGGCACCGGGCTAGCTTGTGGGGAGTCCCGAGTGGCCGCTCTGGAGTGGCCTAGCTGGAGCAAGGGGCCTAATGACATGGGATGGGATGGTGAGAGCTTGCCTGTAGCCTCCCGCAGAGCCAGGGTCTCGTAGCCATCCATCCACTGGTAGGCAGGGAAGTGGTAGATGCGGCCATTAGGTGCACAGATCTGCACATAGTTGCAGTACCAGGATTTCTTAGGAAAGAAGGAGTATCGCTCCTTGTGCAGGCGGATGATGATGAGCTCCCCCAGGTCCTGCTGGCACTGGACAGTGTACTCATCCACCTGGGCAAGGCACAGGCCAGCTGAGCGTGCAGGACTCCACCCTGGCTTCCCAGGTTTCCTGCTGGTCGGCTCCTCACCCAGGCTCATGCTGCTCATCTTCCTGGACTCGGGTGACCTGAGCTTTTGGCTCTCCCCCCGCCCCTCCAACCCGACTGTCCCCTGCTGGGCCCATCTACCCACTCCCAGCTCCACTCCCAGCTGCTGAGGTCCCATCCTCTCACCTACTTCGCCAGTCATCTGAGGCTGCAGGAGCCATGCCGACCCGCAGGGGATGTTGTATAAAAGGGTTCAAATGGGGCCCAGGGCCCCCAAGACCCTATAATCTTAGAGTGGGCAGAAGTGGTCTGATCAGCCCCCTTTTATCCTACTTATCAATGAAATTGCAGAGATTCAAAAATGGCCACATAGTGACCTATTAAAGTCACATAGCAACAGGTTACTGAACATGACGCAAAATCAGGTCTGAGGGCTGAAGGCCCAGCAAACAGTGCCTTCCGGCACGGAGAAGGCAGGCCCCCCGGGCAGGCTGGTCTGATGCCATCTGAAGTCACAGAGACTCCGATATGAATTTAAGCCAGACACAATGCACCTTAACTTAGGAAGCATGGGAAAGAATAGAGGGAAGAGGAATGAGGGAGAGGGGGAGAGAGGAAATGGGAAAGGATGAGGGAAGAAGGAGTGGACAGGGGATGAGAAAGAAGGAGAGATTAAGGGAGTAGGAGAGGGTTGAGAGAAAGGGGATATGGGATGAGTGATGAGAGAGGAAGAGGGGAGAGAGAAGGGGTGAGAAAAGGGGAGGGAAAGAGATGAGGAATGACCAGAAAGGAATGACCATACGCATACACACACATATACACACACAGGCCAGGGAAGGAGGATGGTCCAAAGACCAGGGAAGGTTGGGAGCCAGGTCTGTGATTAGGGGCATCCAGGGTCACCCTTGGAGCCCCACTGCTTTCAGACCCTTTCCAGAGCACCCCAACCTCTCCTGGTCAAGCTCTGTCTCCTCCTCTCCACCCCTCCTTCCCTCCTTATGCTCCCCAGATACACACACATGTACATACACCATACACACTCACACATATGTACACCACATTCACAGACACACACACATATACATACTCAGTCACACTCACACATAAACACTCACATTCACACATACATACACCATACTCATACACACACACAAATATACACACAGTCACACATGCATATACACACACACCGTACACACACACACACACACACATGTATATACACACACAGTCACATATACCCACACTACACACACATATATACACCACACTCACACACACATACATACACACACCACACTCACACATACATACACCATACTCACACACAGCCACACATACACACATACATACACCACACTCACACACACATACATTCACATACATCACACACACACACACACACATACTCACATTCATACACCATACACACGCACACAGTTATACACACTCACCGCTCCAGTTGCAAAGTCTCTCCCAAAGTGGTTCAGCCGCTGCTTATGGCTCTCCCCTTGGGTCCCCACAATGGTCAGTGAGATGGAGTCCATTGTTCCTGACAAGAAGTCATCACCGGTGGCCACCTTGACTTTGTAGGTGGCCATGGCTGCTTTTCAGGAGGCAGGGGGGCAGCTCAGTTCCAAACACTGTGGAGCGCTGTACGAGGCCCCAGCCAGGCAGGGGAGGCCAGGCACAGAGAGGAGTGGAAAGGGCCAGCCTCCCAAAGTGACAAGGTGAGGCAAGGAGGACTGGCCCCCAGCAGCCCAGAGCCTGGAGAAGCTGCTGCCCTCAGCGGGGCGGACTGAGCCAGGCAGGCTGAGGTGAGGCTGCCCGGGCTGGTGAGCAGGTATCTGGGCTATAAGCCCTCTGGGAGCTGGCAGGAAGGAACAGGAGGCTGGGTGCTGGGCCTGCCTCCGAGAGGGCGGATGGAAGATGCCTTGGATGAAGAGGACTTCAGGGTGGGGAAGCCAGTCCAGCCTGAGCTAGGGCCTCAAGGGAGTTGGGGGAGGGGTCTGGGCGGGGCTCCCAGATCTTTATCAGCCTAATAACCTCCTTCTTTCTGCCCGCCCCCATGGGCTGCAGAGCCACCAGCAGTCAGTTACCTGCATCGCTGTGGGGGTGGGGGCTAGGGGAGAGGGTGCAGCACAAACTCGCTGTGCAGCTGGCCTGCTGCCTGGCCATTCCTTTCTGGGAAATGGAACAGGCGGTGGCCTCAGCGGGAAGGCTGGCCCATCCTGTCCAGGGCCCAAAGCCCACAAGAGGAAGGGTGCCCGGTGATGAAGCTAGAGCTCAGGGACCCTAGAGTGCAAAGAGGCTACTGAGACAGATGATCAGGGATGAGAGAGGAGGGGATTTGTTGCTTCCTGTTGGGCCAGGATCAGCCGAAAAGGGATTGGGGTTGACTACAAAAATAGAAGACAGTTGGAGTACATTTGGGGCACAAGTACTAAGCTAAAGAATAGATATATAATCTGTAGTATAATCATAATATAGAATTTTACCCAGCAATTAAAAATAAGAATGAACTATAACATGAATGAATCTCACAAAAACTATGTTGCATGAAAGAAGCCAGACATAAAAGAGTAAATGGTCTCTCATTCCATAAATAGGAAGAACAAGAACAGCAAAACCAAACAATTCTTATAAAAGTCAGACCAGCCCTGGCCGGTTTGGCTCAGCAGTTAGAGCATTGGCCTGCGGTCCAGAGAGACCCGGGTTCGGTTCCCGCTACGAGCTCGTACTTCGGTTGCAGTTTGTTCCTGGTCCTCAACCACTCACCACTCGATGTGTCCCTTTCACGTTGATGTTTCTCTCTCTCTCTCTCTCTCTCTCTCTCTCTCTCTCTCTCTCTCTCTTTCTCTCTCACTCTACCTCCCACTCTATCTGAACAAAAAATGGAAAAATGTCCTCGGATGAGGATAAAAAAAAATAATAATAATAAAATAAAAGTCAGACCAGTGAGTAGCTCTGGACTGAGAGAGCCATGTAAGGAGCTAGAAATATTCTATAACTCGACCTGGGTGGTATATAGGGCACTATATGCATTTTACTATATCTATGTTATCCCTCATTTTCATAAAGTACTCAATCCATCCCCAACCCTACCTCCAAAAAAAGAAACAGAATGAAGCCAATCCTGGCCCGTGTGGCTCAGTGATTAGAGTGCCGGCCTGTGCACCTAAGGGTTGTAGGTTTGATTCCGGGTCAAGGGCACATACCTGGGTTGCAGGTTCAATCCCCGGCCCAAGTTGGGATATGTGTGGGAGACCACAGCCATGAGGACTGGGGTGGTGTCAGGCCCTGGGATAGGGTTAAGTTTAGGAAGGTGTTGGGACTAAGATTATACTACAAGAAAGGCTCAGAGTTATACTCTCAACAGACAGCATTTGAGACCCAGGGAGAGTGAGGAGAGAGTCACACCCCCAGCCCCTTTTTCTGGACCTGCCCTCTTTCCTTCTGCCTCCCAGGGGCTCCTGCCAACCAGGAAGCACCAGCCCAGGTTTCCTCCCTGGCGGCACCCTTCTGTCACCATCGAGGGAAGGTCACACAGGGCCTGGGCCATGGTAGGGCCAAAGAGAGCTGGGATTCTGAGATGGAGAGAAAGTTCTGGTAGGATCAAGTTGAGCTTGGAGATAAGGATGTGGTTGGAGTTAGGAAGAAAAATTACCTTTTTTTTTTTAAATTTTTTTCATTTATTGATTTTAGAGAGAGAAAGTGAGAGGGAGGGAGAGAGAGAAACATCAATGAGAGAGAACATTGACTGGCCGCCTCCTGCATGCTCCCCACTGGGGATCAGGCCCACAATCTGGGCATGTGTCGAACCGGCGACCTCTTGGTACATGGGTCGATGCTCTGCCACTGAGCCACACCAGCCGGACTGAAATGACCTTTTCAAGACCCAAGTGTGCTCATGTCACCCCCATCTCCTCCGACCCCAGATCAAGCCTGACAGTGGCTCCTTGCCTTTGAGATAAGGACATCATCCCTTCACATGACCCCCACGGCCTACTTCATACATCGTATCCTCCACCACTTTCCCCTTTGCTCTCTTCCGTATGGGGACTATGTGCCTTTCGTTCATCAGCAGCAGATGAAGCTCCTACTATGTGCCCGGCAAATCCCTGCCCTTTCTCCTGGAGCTTACATTCTGGTGTGGGAACAGACAATGTTACCTAATAACCAAGTAAGTTAAATGCTATGTTAAATGGTGATAAGTACCAAAGAGAAAAAACAAAGCAGGGAATGATAATAAAAAGTATAAGGGAGCGCCCTGGCTGATATGGCTCAGCAGTAAGAGCATCGCCTGTGGACCGAAGGAAGAGTCCTGGGTTCGGTTCCCACTAAGGGCACATATCCCAGCCCCAGTTGGGGTTGTGCAGGTGGCAACCAATCAATGTGTCTCTCTCACATAGATGTTTCTTTCTGTCTCTCTCTTCCTCCCTCTCTCCCTCCAGCTCTATCTGAAGATTAATGTAAAAATATCCTTGGGTGGGGATTTTTTTAAAAAGTATAAGGGAGCGAATTTTAGATATAGAGTGGCTAGGAAAGAGCTCTCTGAGAAGGGACTTTTGAGTAAAGATATGAAGTGAGGTCACCCCTTCCAACCACTGGGCCCTTGCACATGCTGTCTTGCACATGCTGTCCTTCTCTACCTCTTGGACCTGATTAATGTTTCCTCGTCCTTCTGATCTCAGCTTGACAATTGCTTAATCAAGGATGGCCAAACTCAACTATTAATGGCTCTCAGCACAGTAGCTAATATATTTCATTGATGTCTGTCTTCCCCACTAGATTAGACTGTCATTTGGTTTGGTTTTCTCCCCAACTCCTGGCACAGTACCTGGTACCTGGGAGACTCTTGGAACATAATTATTAATGGTTGGATGGATTAGCGACGAGAACAAGCTCAGGATTAAGAACTGCCTCAACAGTGGGGTTGGAACTAGAGTGAAGGTTCAGAGTTGTGGTAAAATGGAGTAATGGTGAGGTGAGGGGTAGGGAGTGGTGTGTATGGGGAATGGGGTAAGGAAATGGAGACAGGATCGGGGAGAAGGCTGAAGATGAAGGTCATGCCCCCACCCTGGGTGACTGGCAGGGCTGTCTCATCCACTTGTCACAGTCCTGTCCCCACTGAGAATAGCTGCTGTCAGGCAGGTCAGGCCTGCCCTCCTGGGCTCTGCTCAGCTACCCCACGGACCCTTGGGGAATGCTAGAAGCCTGATGATGCCCATTTGCATCTTAAGATGCAAATCCTTGCAACCTCTCCCATTCTCCTGCCTTCTAGCCACTCCCCTCCCCTGAAGACTGTGTCCCCAGGGGGCTGCTAAGGCTTGGTTAGGAGCAGGGTGGGGTGGAATGGAAATTGAATCTTGGGGGCTTGGGAAACTGCACCTCCAGGCTCCTCTGTCCTGGGTCAGAGGGGTGAGAGGCCCAGCCTTAAACTTCTAATTTGGTGGAAAAATCACTCTGTGGGGAGTGGGGAAGAAGCAGGGTCACACAGGTGACTGGAAGGTAAGGTAAGGGGAGTCCTGGGGCAAACAGGGAAGGGAGCTGATAGGGTAGAAGAGTTTGGGTGTCACCACAAATGGTAGGCTCTACCTCCATCCCCCAAAGGCTGCCTCCTCAAGTCATAACCCACTATCAATAGGTGTCCTATCAGCCATTCCCTCTCCCCAACAAAGTAGGAGTGGAGACTGCTGCAGTCTGGAGTGGGCATTAGGTTCCTGAGGGAAACAGGGATGGAAACAGGGATGGTGAGATGTGGATGTGGCTGTGGACATGGACAGGATTAGGCATGAGGATGTTGATGGGGCACTCCCGAGTTACAACCAAAACGTGTAAGCGTGGCTCTGGGTAGGTGCTCATTGGGCTGAAGAACTGGTTCTCCTGGACCAGGGGCGGACCTGGAGAGTAGGAGAGGCCCCTGGGAAGGATGCGAGCTTGCACGGCTGGCTCACAATGGGCCACCCACACAGGAAGCCAAGTGTTCACTGCTGGGGCAACCCCTCCACCTTGCCCCACCCCAAGCCCTACAAGGCAGGGAGCAACTCTTGGGGCTCCACACCCTTAGGATACAGAGAAAAAAATCAAATCGGTCACTCTTCTGCTTAAAACTCCCCAGATCTTAAAATGGTGGTGTCCTTAGAATCAAGACCAAAGACTTCCCGTGGACTACAGAGCTATGCATGACCCAGCTTCTGTCCATTCCTCGGTCACTATTCCAGCCCCTCTGACTTTCTCCCCATTCCTCAAACACATGCCCTTTAGGGACCTTGCACTTGACCTGTCCCTGGTCTGTAACACCGTTCCCTCAAGCTGTCCCAGGTGTTTTGTTCTTCTCATCCACATCTCAACTCAACTGCCACTCCTCAGAGTGCCCTTCCCTGACCACCAGACCTAATGTTCCCCCCACCCACTACCCCGAGTCATGCTAACACACCACATGATTTTATTTCCTAAATGCACTACAATCATCTGATGGAATTTATTTGCTTGTGTGACTAGGTGTTTGCTGTCTGTTTCCCTGTAAGCCAGGGGAATTAGGGATGGTACCAGGGAGTTTATAGCTGCTTCCCCAATGTCTCAAACAGTGTCTAGGGAGACAGGGGCCATGAGGCAAGCAGATCCCAGCATGTCAA